ACCAGACTGATTTAGGATATAGAGACCATTTCCTGTTCTACCACTGCAAATCGTCTTCTTCATGATAAGGTCCTGAAAAAGACAATAATAGGGGAAAAAAGTTACACTATAATTCAAATCTCTAGTAAGATGACTCAATGACAATAGGTTAACAGAAAAATTAGGAACATGTAAAATAGAAAACAAATGTAGAGAAAGGGTGGCACAGATTAAACCTTTCCAGGTGACAGAAGAAATAGTACCATCAACAATCTTAACTTTATCCTGACCATAGGCTGGTGTATAGTCTGAGAAGAGATCAGAAAACCCAAACATATGATTTGAGACACTAGAATCAATAATCCATGGCAAGACCTTATGGGATAAGAAAACACTAGAATATGAGGCTAACTTACCTAAATGGGTAAATGAAGAAGAAATAGTAGATGCACCTGGAGGAACAAGAGACCGATGATCAAGCAAATTGCACAGAGCATCTTCAAACTCAGAAGATGACATACTAGAGACCAAATCAGAAGTCTGTATAACCGGAACTGAATCATGCGTCTCTACAACACTTGACTAATGAGCATGAGAGTGAGACCTACGTCCTCTTGATTGACTAGAACACCCGCCTTTATGACCAGAGTGATCTCCTCGACCCCTTGATGGAGTCCCATGAAGCTTCCAGCAAGTCTCATGGGTATGCCTCGGCCGGCAACAGTAATCATAGAACAAATTATCCTTCCCAAAAAGATAAGAAGAAGGAAATGACAAACTAGCCCCATCCCGAAAAGGTGTAAAAAGTAATGCTGAGCTATCTGTAGATGTTAGTGGTAACATAACAGAACGACAACTCTCTTCATTCTGGACATAAGCAAAGGCCTTCTGAAGAGATGAAAGAACATCCATGCCAAAGGACACTACTCCGGGCCGGTCAAACACCACATTGAGTCCTTCTAGGAACTTGAAGACTCTTTTCTAGGCAAGAAACTTTCGGTAGCCAACTGAGTTAATTGTGCAAACAGGCTTATAATCCAGAAGATGATCTAGGCGTTTCCAACCATTAGTCAAAAAAGTGTAATATTGAAGAATTGTTTGCTCTCCCTGTGCTGAGCACTCAATAAATCGGTGCAACTTAAATGACTGAGAAAAATTCCCCTTTCAAGAATATGTAGCAGCTACTACCTCCAAAGCATCTTGGGCAGTCTCTATAGATAAATAACCTTCACCAATCTCAAGGACCATGGAATGAAAGAGCCATCCTCTGATCAAAGAGTTGGTAATCTCCCATTGATCATAGCCAGGATCAGAAATATTTGGTGCTTGAACTCTCCTGTCAACATATCCCATCTTTCCTCTACTCTTTAGAAAAAGTGTTAGACATTGAGACCATGCAAGGTAATTCTGACCCTTAAACAGAGATGTGGTGATTTTGAAGTTAGGGTATAGGTTCTCAGAAGTAGTAGCCATAACTGGACTAGGACTCTCCCCTTTAGATGGGTGAGAAGTAGTGGATTTACTAGATGGGTCAGCCATGTTTATGCTACTATCTTAACCAAAAAACACAACACTAATCACAATAATGGAAAGATGAAATAGAATGGCCAAGCAATCTCAAACACAAACCACTATGGGAGCATAACACTTAGATTGATAGGGCCATTTACCACCCCAAAGAATAAATAAAATGATTAAAAAAAAAGAACGTGAAACTTCAATCAAAATAGCAGTCTTAGGTTCAACTACAATAAAAAAAACACAGTAGTAATAAAGAGAATGAACCAATGAGCGTTATCAGGACATATGATGTGGAGAAACACTTAGATGTTATCATAGAGAGCTCGAAACACATAGGAGAAGGCCAGAGGGAAGTCCAAAGCACATACCAGACCATGGAAGAAGCTGGAAGATACCCAGATGGGTGTCGGTTTAAGCTAAAAAACCCTAGGATGGGTGTCAGCTGGTCTGAAACCATCTAGAGAAGAGTCAAAAGAGCTTAACAGGCCTTGAACAACAATTGGAGGTCTTTTGTTGGAGCCAACAGGGTCTAGAACAGGTTGGGTAGTGACGGGTGGTGGTTGGGTGGTGTATTAATGGTGATTGGTGGCTGCGTAGGTGATGGGTTTAGGGTTTTGGCTCTGATACTATGTTTATTTGAGACAAAACTAACTTATAGAATGATTAAATAATCACCCCCTTTTATATTGATAATAGGTAGTTTACAATGGAAACCTTTGAAGCACAAATAAGGAAATAACAACTAATAGAATAAAAAAGTCCAAATGCACTAATTAAAGAATCAAAATATAATCTAAATAAGGAAACAAATAATAGAATGATCCTAACATATATTCTAACAGTAAGTTGGTAGAAAAATTAGGAACATGAAGCACATAAGAAAGAGAAAGTAAAGATAAGCAATGAACAGAACCATTGCTGGAAATAGAAGATAAAGTGCCATCAGCCACTCTAAATAGAAAAGGCTAGAGGTACCTGCCATGTGATCGGTAGCACTAGAATTAATTATCTAAGAAGGCGACAAGGATGTACTAAGGGCACTAGCAGGAATACTTGTGCGGGTAAAATTGAAAGAAGCAAAAGTCAGAAAGAACTATGGTGAATAGAGAATCAAGCCGAGCCATTAAATATTTGAAAGTGTGTAACTCATGGAAAGAGTATTGGGCTCACTAGAGGTACTAATATCAATCTCAGACACAGGTGCTTGTGGCTAAGCTGTACTACTATGGCCACGACCCTGAGTAGGACGACTATTCAATTTCCAACAATGCTCGCGATCATGTTAATATTTCCCACAATAATCACACTTTAATCGATCTCGGTCAACCAGGGGGCCCTTATTAGAAAATGAAACTGGACTAGGCTTAGGATCACGGGTGAATAGAGCAACAACCAAAGCAAAACAATCCTGAACAGAGGAATGAACCATAGCACTGCATCAACTTTCCTCTTGTTGAACAAGCGAATAGGCCTCATGTAAGGTGAGGAAAAGAGAACAACCCAACACTTGAACGTGAATCTGATCATACTCCAAATTATGGCCAGCAAAGAAGTCATACACATGCTCTTTCTCACAATCTGTTGAAATGAAGTTGCATCATTGGAACACACAGCTTGAAAAATTTGATAATAATCCAGTTCCTGCCACAAGCTACTTAACTTAGCATAGTACACTACAAGTGATCTGTCCTTTTAATCCACACCCCAAAGCTTCTTTATCAACTTATATGTCAGTGCATCATCATCCAGTTGAGAGTACATTTGTGAGGCAACGGTCCATATTTTAGGAGTGGTATCTAGGAGACGAAAAGACCAACTGATAGTGGGTTGCATAAAATTAATGAGCGAAATCATAACCAAAGCGTTCTCAAAAACCCATTGAGTATGCGAAGGGGAGTCATTAGCAGGTTGGGGGAGATCACCGATAATATAGCCAGTGAAACGACAAGCGGCAATAGCAAGGCTACAAGAACAGGACCGGATCAGGTAGTTCGAGCCATCAAGTTTCATAGGACTGATTTGAAGAGAGGGGACTATCATTAAGGGTAATAACATGATGCACTTCACCCTCTTCACTAACCCTAGGGTCTTTATCCTCAATTTTAGCCATTGAAACTCAATCCACACAAAAAATAGCAGTCCAGAAAGCCACTAACAGTGCCAAAAAACCAATTGAGAAATAGCAAAATACCTTTATAGACAGAGATAGAGCCAAAAACACAGCCAAGAAAGCAAAAAACGAACAGAAATTGAGAGAAACCTCACTAATTTGTCTAGCCTCTTACAGTGGTCCAGTTGGATCCCAAGGAAAGGGAAGGAAGAGAAGAAACAACCCTAAAAGGGCTTCAATAGTCGGTTCCAAAAAAAAGCTATTTTTTTCCAAAAAATCAACAAAAAATGGAAAAACCACCAAATAATTAACAAAATATTAAAATAAAATCATGGGGAAGAAACCCATGAAATTTCGAACCTGGGGGGATTGTTTATTATTATTATTTTACAGAAAAACGAGAAAAAAAAAGAAAAACAAGGGAAAATACCACAATTTTCAAGGAGGAAGATGTAGCTCTGACACTGTTAGATTTACATATGAAAAGAAGAAGAAGAAGAATGAGAGGAAAAAGAAGAATGAGAGAGAAAATTGCTGCTATTGGATTAACACTAGAAAATCCATTAGGGTTTACACATGTATTTATAATAAGTGCTGTTATTAGTATCACATCAATTATTTTGGACCCTCTATTTCTTTGGACTCTCACTTATAAATTGTAAAACTCTTAAAATTTATTTTTTCCCCTCAAATAATACCAAAATTATCAATGTAAAAACATTTCATCTATTCAAATGCACACCCCTACATCCCAAAAAGCCTCACTACAACAATTTACACTTTTGGCAACCAAATTTGGCTACTAAAAGGGATTTAGTCGCCAAAAGTTCATTTTTTGGTGATTAAAAATTATTTTGGTCGTTGTTGGTTTAGGTTTTTGCTACTAAATTATTTTAGTTGACGTATATTATTTATTGGCAACTAAAAAAAACACTAGTCGGTAAATATTCCACAATAGGCAACTAAAAAAAATATTAGTTGTCGTTGCTCTCGTTTTTAGACTACTAAATTTAATTTTAGTTGTAGTATATTAATTTCTGCTGACAAAAATGAATTTAGGCTTAGTTTGGGAAGACTAAATAAGTGTACTTTTTGACTTTTTATGAAATATGGGTTGGGTTTGGATTGGGTTTGAAGTAATGTATTAGAGAGGTGATGTGACTTAAATAAGATGATGTGACTTAAATAGGATAGTGACTTTTTAACTTTTTGTCTTTTTTCAATCTTCCCAAACTAGGCCTTAGTTGCCAAAAAACAGCCATAATTGCACTGTTACTCTTTGGCGACTAAGAGTTTGGTCGGCAAATATATAAGTTTAGCGCTTAAAAAATATTTGGTTGCAATATACTCAATTTTTTCTGACGAAAGAACAATTAGTCGCCAAATAGTAAACTTATGCGGACGAAAAAATGTTTTGAAAGCTAAAAGATTTATAAAATTTTAGTGGGAAAATATTTTATGATTGGCGCCCAGATTTACATCGGTTTCCTCTGTCTCCCTCTCACACGGAGAACCTCACCTCTTCTCACTTCACCGAAGTCTGTCGCCACCGTTCCTCACGTCCGTCGCACATCGCCACCGCCGCAAATCACCACAGCCACCGCCGCAATACGAACAGGTTCTTGCTCTTTCTCCCCTGCCTCTCGCTCGCTCGCTCTCTGTCTCTCCCTTCCTCTATTTCCCCATTTATCACTCTTGCTCTAGGGTTTTACATGATTTGTTGAGTTGAATTTCGTGTTGATTTCTGAAATGGGTTTGGTTTAACTGGTTTGATTTCTACAGTTTTATGGGTTTGATGTCGTAAATGGGTTTGCTTGTTCTGTGGTTTGATACCTTTCCCCTTCGTTTCCTTTCTCTCTCATTAGGTTCAAAGCCCTAATCCAGCTCATTGTGTATGTATTTGCATGTATGGCTGCTCACTAGTTTCAAAGCCCTAATCCATTGCTTGTGTATGTATTTGCATGTATGGCTCCTCATTGATTGTGTATGGATTATCATGCATTCTGATTATTTGAATTGAAATTTGATGCTATGATTGCTATAGTAAAGAATTTATTTGCTTCCCTTTTATGATTATTTCTCAGGCAATTTTCTAGTATTAAACTAAGTTGAAAATATTGTGGTTTCAGGCTGGGTTTGGGGTCTTCTAACCATTTTATATAATTGAATAGATGTTTTATATCTCTTATTACAGAAAGAAGTTACTGATTTGGATATTCCATTTGTGTACAGAGCACAATTTATATTTTTGTATAACCGTGCTATTTTGTCGTCCTCTATTTTTGTGTGGATTAGTAGTAATCGTACAAATAACTTTTGGCATGGTTTTGGCATCAAACGGATAATTATTGGCGTGATATATAGATTATCTTTTGTTGTGGTACAGATTACCATGGTAATATGTACCACGCCAAATGACTATTTGACATAATAGTGAATATATTTTTTGTGTACGTATGATTCTTTGTTTTGTATGGAATTATGTTAGAATTTCCCATCTTTACCTTCACCTACTTCACTACACACTCCACTTCACCTACCTCCACTTCACCACACACTCCACTTCACCTAACCCACTATCACCTCCACTACACCTACTACCACATTTTCTTCTATATATAGATTGTATAGGAATTGTAATTCATCAATCAAAACATCAATCAATAATACATACATTTTAACAAATTATTATTTTAGGTCTCTATATACTTTGTTTGTATGAAATTTGATACTAAAAGTTATTCATTTTTGGATGGTTGGAAACAAAATGGATGCAAATTGTAGAATGGTTGATAACATCTGTATTGTTTTGTTTATATGCATGATACAAGTTGCATGGAATACATATAGGTTCTGGACAAATTAATTAAGAAAAACACAAAATTATATTTTTGGCGACTAAACAATTGGTAGCTAAAAATGAAGTAGATAACTTTTTGGTGCCTAAATATGTAATAGCAAATAAAAAAAAAAAGCCAAAAAAAAAAAAAAAAAATTTTGGCGACTACATATTTAGTAGCCAAAACAAAATCAGACTTTAGGCAACTAAAACTTTAGTAGCTAAAAAATAAAATAAAATGAAAAAAAAAATAAATTGGTGAGGCAACTAAAATATTTAGTAAGTAAAAAAATTAAGATGAACAAAAGGAAAAAAAAATTGACGACTAAATATTTAGTCGTCCTACATAATTTAAGTTTTTGGCAATAAAAATCTTTAGTTACTAAAAATGCTCTAATTAATTTTATTTAAAATCTTTTGGCGACTAAAAATTTAGTTGTCAATTGGGAACTTTCGGCGACTAGACTTTTTTTAGCCACCAATTATCTTTCCCGACAATCTTTCAACGACTAATCTGGCGACCAAAACTTTTAGTTGGCAAAAATAATCGGCGACTAAAAAAGGACTTTTGGCAACGAAAAATTTAGTCGCCAAAAGTGTCATTTATTGTTGTGCTTTTCTCCCAAAACCCTAACAAAACCCACAACGATGGAAACTTTGAAAACCATTGGAAAATTTTTTTATGATTAAGAAGTTTTTTCTCTACTTCATTACGAGGTTTGTCAATCTGTTTTGATTTTTTTTTTTTTTTCTATTACCTCTTTTCACACGCAACACAATCCACTTTTATGCTTCTCTAGTTGATTTTCTGTCATTCATCAATGGCTTCATTGTACTTGTATGCTCTTTGTGTGAGCAAAACTGTGCAAGATTTCTGGTCGACCACCCAAGGGTGGTCTGACTCCTTTGTTTGCTTTTTCTGTTGCTGCTTCAGTTATCTGTTCCCGAACAAATAAGAAATGTTTGGTTGCCTGTTCATAAAAAAATAAACAATGTTCAGGCATGTGTTCCTGAATTTTGGTCATATGTTCGGGAGTTTAGTCCCAAAAAAATGACGAACAATCTTTATTACTTTTGCCATTTTTTTTAAGAAATTTACTCTTACAAGGCCAATCTTCTCTGAGTTAAGAACACCATCAAAGTTATGAATCTCTTCTAAGCTTTTATTGTTGTACTCCTCCCGTCTCATGAAGTTATGGTTATTGGAAAAACTTTCACTCATTGTCATTGCCGGAGAAGTGTATATAATCAAATGGTTGCTACTATTGCCGTCGGAATATTACCGCCAAAGGGGTTTCAAAGTTTTGAGGGTGGGTAGGTTTTGAAGGTAGGATCTGGGGAAGATGGATGGATGGGTGGTGATGGAGGTTGGTGTTCTCATAAACCCTAACTCATGATATCGTGGGTATGTGAACCTAATTGTGAGATGGGGTGTCCCAAAATTATTGATGTCCTTTTTAGTAATTTCACTTGAGGTTATTATTGTAACAAAAAAAGGTAAAAAATGAGGGGTCCAAAATAATTGATGGAGTGTTAATAACAACACTCATTTATAATATAAGACTAAGGACTAAAATGACGCGACTACCCTTGGACACTAACACTTAACAATGCACAATGATGCTGACCCAATGATCATATTTCCACAAAACAAGCTAGAAACAATTCATTAGGATGCCATCGACAAACAAGATCTTGATGCCCGAGTGTTTGGGTTGAATTATTGTTTTTTTAGTGAATTTTTTTATTTTATTTTAAGGAATGGAATAGGAATGATATGATAACCTATTTGATTTACAGCAAAGCTGAGCTGCTATGAAAACTACTAAACAGAAGAAGAGGAAGACGGTTGAGGCTCCTACAAAAAACAATGCAATTGTAGGTTTCACTGGAGTCAAGAAGTCCACAAATAGAACTAGAGGACAGCGTCAGAGAACAGCAGGTTAGGTTTCTCAATAGAAGTTCTACGGGTGTATCACTATCAGCTTAAAGGACATTCTTTCAGTTGTAATATGTTGTATCCACCTTGGCATTGCATGTTATGCGTTTTGTTTGTCAATTACAAAAGGCTTGTTTGTGTTTTGTTTCATGTTTTTGCATTTTTGTTTTCAAAAATTTTGATAAGACAAAACAAAAAAATTTTGGTGCATTCTTTTGTTTTAAATTTTTTGAAAACTATTTTCAAAACTAAAAAAAAAAAGGACACAAAAAGGCATTTTCACTTTTAATGCAACAAAACAGCCCCGTAGGTTTTATTTTTATTGACTGATGTGGAGACAAAACATGTTACTTAGCTTCTTTTGGGCTTCAGCAGCACCCATCTTTAAGGGATTTCTTTATTTTTTATTAACAGAGATTGGAAAGTTGTGTTTGATATATAGTTTTCTTGTTTTAATCTTCTTTTTATTTTTTCGACTTGGTGGGCTTGTTCTCCCGTTTGTTCTCTTCTATTCCGCTTTTCTTTTAATATCAATACAATTTCTCCTTAAAGCTGATCAGAAAATTTTCAAATATATATATCGAGCTAGCTGAAAACTTCCTGTTCACTTCCCCTTTCCACTGTTCTAATTCAAACAGCAACCATAAATTTGAGCAGTATATAAATACAAAATGGTTTGCTAACATGCATGGAAGTGATGAAGCAAACTGTACAACTTTTTTTTATTTATTAATATGCATATTGCTAAAAACTTCTAAATGACACAAGAGTCAAAAGCATAGATGGAACAAATCAGTTTAAATTTAATAGCTCAGCTTACAGTCAGTGCTTGAACTGGAGATATTTCGTTGTTGAGTCGGGTTAATTGATTTTGATGAGTGTAGAATAGGTTGCATGGGCTGTAAAAACAAATCACATTTACAATGAGTGAAACAAAAAGTATGAAAATACTAATTTTCTTGCATATAACAATATTTGGTGTTTCATTTTTTTTTATTTTTTATTAATGAAGAAACAATAATTTCCATCTGTTCTTAACCCGTGTCTTCTCCTTACTTCTTTGAACCTCCTCTTTCTAGGGGGATGTAAATATATCGTGCCTGAACATGATCCAGGCATTTTTCCATTTAGTGCTGCTCAAATGGTGGCTCAGCAGCTTCCAAGGATGGATGCATTATCTAAAGAAACTTTAAAAGAAGTACCTAAACTGGAGCTTCATCCTTCTGACAAGATTAAATTGCAGCTTTTCCCAATTGATGAAGGCACTCGAATCAGATTGGAGAAAGTAAACTTATGTACCTATAAGCATTGAACAGCAGAATTCTGCTTAAGATCGATCTGTCAGTTGTAACTATACTGATATATTGTCTCCCTTTCTTATAGGATGGTCATAATCCATTTTTGGAACTCACTCTAAGAGCTCGGAAGAAGATATCATCCGTGCTTAAGCACCTGAACAGCAAATGGGGCAATTCTAGTATTGCTCTAGGGGAGCCCATGCTTTTTCCATACAATATACAATTGGAAAAACTGAGTACATACAAGAGATGGACATTAAATGACAGTGACATTAGTGCAGGTGATGCATATGCAGCTATAGAAAGTCCAGCAGTTTTTCGCTTAAGGTCTGGAGCTTGATCTCTTCAGTTATTTTGGGCATCTATAAGTTTAGCTTAACTTCTAACTTATTGTAACCAGAAAATACGGAATACCCTAATGATTTACATTTTGGAACTTACGTTCTATGGTACACTTTCGTTTCAAACAGTGAATTTAGCAATCCAAAGAGATCCCATTTTTTCCCTCTTTATTTACTTGTTTGTTTAGGACTAAAATCTAGCAAGAGTAGGAGTTTTCGAAGGATATAATGTAAATAAATAAATGTGCCATGATGCTCCTTGAAATGTGTTTTTGCATTGATGAATTAAAAAAAAATATATGTACTATCACTCCGTTTGTTTGGACAGAAAACATTTTCTGGAAAACATTTTATGTATTTTTTAGTGTTTGGCACAATGGAAAATGAAAGTCGATAGAAAGCATTTTCAATAGTCAATGGAAAATAAGCCTATTTAGACAAAAAATGTTTTTCACTTTTAAAAGGCAAAAAATGTTATTCGGACTAAAATTTTACCAATGTTACCACACTACCACCACCATCACCACGGTCACCACCACCATCACCGTTGTCATCACCGCTGCTGTTGCCCCGCTACCATGCCACCACCTCCACCTCCACCTCCACCTTCATTCCACTACCACCACCACCACCCTCACCACCAATCAAAAAAAAATGTTTTCTCTGGAAAACATTTTCTGGAAAAAGTTTTCCATAGAAAATGTTTTCCGCCCAAACAAACGGAGTGTATATTGTGTTGAATGTCTAATTGTTAAAAGAAAATTGCTCTACAAATACTTCAAATTCTAATATTGTAATCTGCACAAGTTTACTCGTATCATGCCACATGTTAGATTATGTACCCCATTTCCGTTCCTGTTCCCATTCCAGGTACTGGAACAATCTGCATTCTAGGTAACATAGTTCTGACTTCATCTGTCTTTCAAGGTATGGCTGGTTCTCCAATCTTGAGCCCAAAACCGTTGCAGTACCTTCGAGATGTACTCACTCAGGGGCTTGCTTTGAATCTGAAGGCCTTCAGAAAGATTGCAGTACAATTTCAGAGCTTGTAAATGACAGTAAGGAAAATTTTCAGATAACAAGTGAAGATTTCAAGCCAATCAATATCAGCAAAGAAGCAGATGTTGTTGTTGCTAAGAATATGTCTGTAGATGTACCAATTGGCCATGCGGTAAATTTTCACTTCTTTTGCCCATCTGTTATAGTTTCATTCGTATGACAATACTGGGGAGTTTTGTGATTTTGCAATCTCAACCTTCCGATGTACATTATTTGTCCAGATTCTGCATTTTATAGTCCCTACTAAAGCTATTGCATGATAAAATAGGCCTATCCCATTTAGTTTATACTGTGGAAAATAATTAAAAACTTGTTGGATTAATTAGGTGGTCCAAAATCATTCAGTCACAATTGGTTTTGCAATTACAACACTTTTCAGTTGGCCTATGTTACTAATCATTGATGTTTCTATCAAAAGGCTCAGGTGCATTATGTTTCCATCACAGATTTTACATATCTGAAAAAATATTTTACTAATTATTTTCTTCTTATTAGGATGATGAAGTCAAGATTGGGAATGGCCTTGCACAATCAGGGGTGCCATGGGATGATAGTTTGACAAACTTAAGCATTGGAGGCCTGCTGTCTGACACTTCCTTGCATGGAAAGATCAGTAATTGTGATCCAAAATTAAATGGCAGCAAATTAAACTTGCAACCAATTCAATTAATCTCCTCAGATATAAGTATTGGCGGCTTGCTGTCTGAAGCATCTTTGCAAGGCAGGATTAATGACCATGAGCCAAAATCAAATGGGAACAAGCTAGGCTTACAACCAACTATGGATAAGGGGCTAATACAATCATCATTACCATGGGATGATAGTCTGGCTACCTTAAACATTGGAGGCCTGCTGTCTGAAGCATCCTTGCAGAGCAAGATTGATAGTTGTGATCCAAAACCAAATGGAAACAAATTAGGGTTGCAGCCAACTACATTGATCTCTGATTCCTTGGATGCTTTTATTGCTGGCAAACTAAATTCTCAGCCTCAAGCATCAAAGCCTTCATCGCATGTCTCACACTCATCTATCTTGGATGCTGAAGAGACATGCCATGCATTTCCTTTTCGAAAACTGTCTTCGTCTGGCAAAGATGCTGTGCCGGTGAGTGGAAATGCTACTCCTAGGGACCACAACCATGATGGTAGTTTGAAGTCATTCAAATTTTCTAATTTTGCTGAGGTTGGCTAAATCTTTCCTTTTGCTTCTTGATTCTAATATTGCTATTTGGGAATAGTGCTGGCCCTCAGTTTCTTGTTGAGGCCCCCATTCTGAAAGCTTCAATCATGAATTAGTTTTTGACATGACCCATCCATCAATTGTGGTATTTGAATGAAACATAAGTAATCAAGTGAGTTTCTTGACATCAGTTGGAATTTTTCTGTTGAATACATTTACAATTTTTTTTACAGACACTAGATCTTGACACCAGGACATGGAAAAATAATTTTTAATATTCTTCAAAAAAAATTGTAGGCTAAAATAGTTCAAGGTAACAGAAAGCATCTCATCCATTAAATCCATGAATAGTTATATAGTAAACTTGAATTACTTGCTGTGCATGCTTGTTGAGTGAATGTCCAACTACACATCAGACACATATCCCATATGCTTACCAAGGTATTGCAGGTCTGATGTGGATACTTCACACTTGTAGAAGAGTCCATGTAGTATAGTTAGAGTCCAAGATGCGCAGGATGTATTTAATATCTGCATGTTATTGATTTTGGGGGGGCGGGGGGTCCGGTTACGTTATGGGTAAACTACCAATAGGTCCTAACAGTTAAACTTAATTCCCATCAAGTCCTATTGAAAATAAGTTTTAGTAAAATTGTCGCTAAAAATAATTTTTTTGTGACAATTTTTTACATACGTCACTAAAAATTGACAATTAGTGACTTTTTTGTCATGATTTTTATAAATTATCACTAAAATTTACAATTAGTGACTTTTTTTATGACAAATTTTTCTCATAGGACTTATTAGACAATAAGTTCACTTATTAAGATCTACACGTAAGTACCCCTTAATAACCTTGGTACTGAGGTGTAGACATATAGATGCTCTAACAGCAGGTATTGCAGGGCACACAAACTTCACACATTATGGGACACATTCCCTTAAAAGGTGTGTACCATATGTCTTAGTTATGAAGATTTGTGGTCTTAGTTATGAATCTTGTGAAGCTTATTTATGAGATTTTGTGATGATCAAATTTGTGGTGAATTTGGTTATGAGGCTTTGTGGTGGTTAGTGAGACTTTTTGTGGTGTTTTTAGTGATGACCCAAATTGATTTTGTTACGAGCCTTTGTGGTGTTTGGTTATGAACTGAAGTAGCCTTGGCTATGTAGGAGGTTTTGTTATCAACCGAAGTGGTCTTAGTTATGAAGTTTTTGTGATATTTTTGTTATGGACAATTTAATTTTGGATATATGACCTAAATTGGTGGAAGTCATGAACCATTTTGTTGAAATTTTAGGTGCGTACCATATACAATCTTTTGGAGGTGTATATAATAGCAATTCCCGTAAACTTGACCTATCTGGTTGATTGGAGAGATCATATACATTGACCATTTGTGAGTGCAATTTCTTTGAAATAAGACGCGAATGTTTACAATTTGGGTAGCCATTTTTTTGGGGTTATTTCATATTTGCCTTTGTTTGAAGTGTGACAATGTTTACAATTTGGATAAGCCTAAATCTTTTGAGATATCTGTATAAAATGTTTCAAATTTTAAGATTCCTTTAATACTTCCATGATTTCATGTGGTTTGTCTGATGACCTTCAAGAGTGTTTTTACGTTGCCTTGTTTTGTAGCTCAATGGACAAGGTGAGCTTGCACAAGGTCCTCCTTGTCAGGAATACAAGACAGGTGGTCTGTTGTCTCATTTAGGAGTGAATGACAATGAAAGTAGCCTTGGGCTGGCTGGCATCAAATGGGTATATTTAAATATCTTGCTCAATTTCCCTGAAGTTGTTTTGATGATGTTCCCCAAATGCAAGCAGAACTAACTTGTTCATTGTAAACATTATCTTTTTTGCATTTTCAATGGCTGGATGCAGACTGAATCTTTGGAACCGTTTGATGTTGGCATATCCACTTCACGACAGATTACAAATTCGGATGGTGTTAGCATTGGTGAATTTGTTAGGTAGCAGCTTTCATGTGTTTTGAATATGATTGGATATAGAAAGGTTCTGTGGACAAGCAAAATGCAGGAAAACTGGACTGCTAACAAATAAAACAACCTCAAGCTAATGTAGCTTAATTGCAATCGCTAATGCCATAAAAGGAACTATTCTGTGCAGTATTGTGATTTGTGAACTTGTTAACGTCCCTAGTGGTGAAGGTTCAAGTCACAGAAACATCCTCATCCCTGGTTGGCTTATTTATTTATGTGCAGCAGAAGCAGCTTTGAGGGTTGCATCTGGAAGGACATTTATTCCAAAGAAAATTTGTTTTTGAGCATTTATAACATTCTTGTCTGGGTTACATGATGTGCCCAACTATAAAATGATACTTGCACCATGCATGTTTTGTAGCAACAGGGAAGGAGTGTGGAGTTGGGATGGGCAGAGATGATGCCTGCTCATCCATTGGACAGTTTAAAGCAATCACATAAGATTGTGTTTGAATTATGAATTTAAGTAATGATTTACAAAAAAAAAAAGAAAAAGAAAAAAGATAGGCGAAATATAAATAAAATGCAATTATATTTAACTTTTTTTTTTCTTTTATTTTTCAAATTCTTAAATCCATTATCCAAACATAGTCTATGTATTCATTCTTTTTTTGTTTTTAAAGGTCTTGAATTTTTTAATTACTAGTCTGAAGATTTAATAAAAAATTATTAAAAGGCAAAACAACAAAAATCCCTCGTCTAGAGGCCTAAACAAAGTTTGAAGGCCTCTAATAATAAATCCTCAAAAAAAATTCTTTAGGAAAGACACCTTGGTAGTAAAGGCTTAAAAGACAGAGTAATACTTATCCAAAGGCTTGGTAAAAAATAAAATTTTCTTGTTCAAAGAACCAGGTTGTTGGTTTGTTTTTATTTGTTACTTCATAAAAATTCTCTTTGTCCAAAAAATTTAGATAAAAAATATGAGACATTAAATTTTACATTTAAGGGCATAGTAATTGTAATAGAAAATATTAATTAAATATTAAAAATCATTGAGGTTTCACTTTAACGCTGTGTTTGGTTGGGGGATTTGGAAAGGGATTTAGAAAAGGAAAAGGAAAAGGTATGTGAAATTATGTGAAATGTAGGTATATTTTTTTCACATTTCACCTACTTTTTCCATTGCTCTTTCCAAATCCCTTCTCAAATCCCTCAACCAAACACAGTATAAATCTCTTTTAAAAAATTAGGTTGCACTTGAGGATGGACAAGAAGGTTTGGCTGAGGTTTGAGTTGATATGGTTTTTGCAGTTTTTTTTGTACAGAAAAGTTACAATCTACATGTTTGTAATTATTTTTGCTCTTTTATATTAATTTGTAATTGAATAATGTTTTTTTTTTTTTTTTTTGGAGAAAGGAATTGAAAAATGTTTAGTGTCTCAAATGTTTTGGATATTATTGTACACACATTTTTATAGAAGTGTAAAATTCACATCATGGAAGTACCATACAAATCTGACACCTAAGTAAGAGTGTGTAGATTATTGTTTAAAATATTTGAAATTTTTAACATTCTTATATGTAATTTTCCGTTGAAAAATTATCCTTTGGTTGTTTGCTTTAATTATTATTATTTTTTTAAAACTTAACTTGTAATGATTTCTTACTCGAAAGTGCACAATAATATTTTTTATTTTATTAATTCAAACTATATTCTTTTATTTTTTTAATTTAATTTTTTATTTGTTAAATAAAATTGATTAAAAAAATGATATTTTAGTCATTACATTAATGTAGATGTACGAAAATATCTAAAATACTATTTTCTATTGAGTTTAACGACTAAAATATCTTTTTTTTGTTAGTTTGTCTTAACAAAAATAGATAAATTGTTTATCAAAATATTAGGGTTTAAATTGATAAAATTTAAAACTCAAAATTTATTTTGTTATAAGGATCAAACCTTGATTTTTTTTTAGTTGTAATTTCTCTTTTTTTTTTTGGGGGATAAATTATACTTTGCCTTCTTTATATTTGGTCATTTTCACACTTTAGCCCTTAAGGTTAGTGTTTTTCCACTTTAACCCTTCATGTTTCAAGTTTTTTTTTTTTTCAATTTACTCCTAAAGTTAGCTTCTATTCAAAATTAGACAATAATAATAATAATAATAATAATAATAATAATAATACATTGACAATCACATGGCATAAGAATATTGGGAAAATCGGTTTAAGGTCCCTATCCAACTTTTAGTAATGGATTAGGTCCACAATGTGTTCTTTTGTAGCCTAAGGTCCCTCAATGTTATTTTAGAGTGTAAAATACCTGTCTTACCCTTATTTATAATATACGTTGTTTTGAATTTGGCAGCTAAAGATCATATTGATATTTTGTGGGAGATTACGTGAGGATGAACTTGACGATTCAGATTTTTGTGGAGATTTTCTAGGGTTTTTGTAGGTGTTGAAATCCTGTTCGTTGTTTGTAGGTGTTGAAATCCTATACGAGTTGAAATCATGTTCGTTATTTGTAGATGTTAATCGATCGTGTAGGAGTTGAAATCTGGTTCATTGTGTTTGATTTGATTTCATGTGGAGTTGAATTAGATAAGTTTTCAATTTTTGATTTGATTTGATCGTGTAGGTGTTGAATTAGGTTTTTGTTTTTAGTTTTGATCAATGTGAGAGAGACGAACTCAGTGTCATCGTTTTTGATTTTTGAAGTTAATTTTTCATTATCTGTTATTGATGAATTTTCGATGGAGTTGATTTTGATTTTTGGAGTTGCTTTTTCATTCTCTGTCAACATGGTTATGAGTTGTTTTTTGGTGCTCTGTTTTTCTACGTTTTTGTGCTCTGTTTTTTGTTCACTTTGCATTTTTTGTGTAGTGCAGAGAAAATTGCAAGTTTGTTACTATATTTGAACTCAAATCACAGAGAAAATTGTAAACTTGTAGTGCAGTGAAAATCACAGAGAAAATTGTAAGTAGGCAGAGAAATTTACAGATGTAGCAATAGAATAGTAAGTGTTTTGTTTTGTTTTTTTTTTTTTAATTTTTTGAATTGAATGTTTTGTGAACATAACAGATCTTCTCTGTGATTTTTTTATGTGCTTGTGTTTGATATATTTTTGTCTCTTGATGTTAATGTGTTTTTGTTTTTGTTATATTGAAAGTGAATATGAGTTCACAAATTTCTCTGAACTTTTCTTTGTAGTCCAGAGAAAATCATATGATTGTATTACAAATGATAAGTATTACAAATTTCTCTGGACTTATATGTTGTGTTTTTATATGTTTGCCCTTTTCAAAGTTTTCTGATATGTTTTCTTTGCACTTTTCATTTTTTTTTTTGCACTATTCATGTTTCTGGACTTTTCTTTGTAGTATAGAGAAAATCATAGGTTTGTTATTATAATCCAATGAAAATGACAGAGAAAATGTTAAGCTTGTAGTTGAGTGAAAATCACCCTTGAAGTTGGTGTCTTGATCTTGATGCTTATTGGTTCTTCAAGGTAGCAACAGAGAAAATTACAGAGAAAATTACCTTGACAGAGAAAATTACCTTGTAATCCCAGAGAAAATTACAAGGTAGCATTGAACAAAATAAATATGCCATAGAAAATTAGACACAAGACATAAACATAATGTGGCCAGAGAAAATTATAAATGCTGCCAAAGAAAATTAGACACACAATTGGTTAGGGACCTGAGGCAGTATTACATTTTGTAATGTCCTTTATGCAGAAAATTGTTATTATTAGGGAGCTTAAAAAAAAAACCCCAAGAATATTTTGTTATATATAACTCACACCTAACACGATATTTGTCACATAATATTAAGATTTGAGTTTATGTAAGAGGTGAGTTATATACAATAAAATATTTTTATATCACGTGATTATTAATGCATTATTTTTTATTTAATTTTAAACAAAACTTAATTTTAAGAATAATTTAGAAAAAACTTGAAAAATGAAAGGTCAAAATGAGAAGAAAAAATAAATTTTAAGAAATAAGGCGAGAAAATAGCAAATTATAAAAAGGGCGAAGTGTAATTGGATGATAAAGAAATTCCTACCCGCCAAAAACAGGGTTCCAAAGTAAAAATTTTGTAAGGGAGTGAGACAGTTACAAGTACAAGAAAAAAATCTTTGGGAATACAGTCAAGAGGCCATTGATAATGGATATACAATTGCTTCACAACCACCACCGTCTCACTTCTTGCATCATTCCAAATTCTCAAGTCGCCAACCCAAGCTTTTTTTTTTTTTTTTTTTTTTTTTTGTTTGTAATCGTATTGTTTATTTTATTGTTCTCTCTCTCGTGTTCCACATCATTGTTTATTTTTGGGGGATCAAAATGCACACACCATCAATACAGTACTTTCATTCTCATATATATTGCTACATCATCTAGCTATTATCGAAACTTAGATAACCCGCAAAACGTCAAGAATACTCGGAGATTCGCCACCGTGAGTCCCATAATGGGTTGTGTTCAGACCAGGGGGATTCCTTACTCGCCGCCGCATGGGCTCCAGAATTTGAAACATGAAAATGGGTATGTCAGAGGTGGACCTGGAGCTGGAGCTAGAGGTGCTAATCATGGAGGAGGAGGAGGCAGACCCATTAATGCTCAGAAACGGCCTCCAAAGGATCATCATCATCAGGGTCAGGGTCAGGGTCAGGGTGGTCTGGTTAATAAGTTACCCAGAAGAGAAGTGGTTGGTGGTGGTGTTAAAGTTAATAATGGTGTTGGTGGTGATGAGAGGAAGATAAGGAGAGAAGGAGAGAGTGATGGTGTAAGTGTTTCACACAGGTTTACAACAAAGAAGATTGGTGCAGATGAGCTAGTTGACGGATGGCCTAAGTGGCTTGTTGATAATGTCCCTAAAAATGTTTTGGATGCTTTGGTTCCTAAGACTGCCGATTCCTATGATAAGCTCGCTAAGGTGTGTCTGTCTCGTCACTTTGCAATTTTGTTACGCCTACGATTCTTTAAAATATGCCTTTATTTATTTTATATTTATTTTAGTAGAATGGGCTACATCTACTGAAGTGTGTATTTCTTCAATCGGTGATTTTCCTCATTAAATAACTGAAAAGTGTAAAGAAATATGCACACACACAAAAAAAATGTTTAGCCATTTTTATTCTAGGTGTGTGAGTGTTATGAGAATTATGTGCATTTGCTCTATTTATTGCTATTGTGTTCTGGCCACGGATTTAATCATCACAAAAAGTATCTTCGCTGCGACGTCTCATAAAACCGAGGATGATAGAGAGAGATAAACATCATTTTTGTCTTTTTTTTTCAATATTCATAAATGATCACAATGGTAACTGTATGCTTACACTAAATATTGAAACATAGATTGAAATCACTACTTATGTATTTATTTATCAATTATTGCATGTAAAGTAGCCAATTGAAATGCATCACATTTTCTGCAGCTTTAGGGAAATATTAAATTTGAGGAATCACTTTCTGGGATTCCTTTGAAATGCATCAAGTATTGCATGCTGTATATTAATTGAATATTTTTTGGGTGGTACATTTTGAAGTATTTTGACTATTTGTTCTGCTATTTCAACTGGGTTTTCGTTTTGTGTTCTGCAGGTAGGCCATGGAACATATAGCAATGTGTATAAAGCTCTAGACAGGGACACTGGAAAGATCGTCGCTCTAAAGAAGGTTCGCTTTGACACATCAGAACCGGAGAGTGTGAAATTCATGGCAAGAGAGATTATACTATTACAGCAACTAGATCATCCCAATATCATTAAGCTTGAAGGACTAGCCACTTCAAGAATGCAATATAGTCTCTATTTGGTCTTCGATTACATGCAGTCGGACTTAATGAAAGTTATCTCCCGACCAGGGGAGAGACTCACAGAGCCACAGGTTGAATCTCTGCTTTGGCAATGCAATTCTTGAAGTACGACTTCTATCAATAGCTCTCGGCCTTTTAATTATGAATTAGGGGATTGACAGTGGCCAAAAGTAATCTGAAATGAATTGTTTTGAAAAAATGTTAATGAGCGAGGTGAAGTTCCCAAAGAAAAGAATTCACAGAAGCATATGTTGTTATTCCTGGACTAGTCCAAAGAATTTGGAATTTTATGATTAACTTGGATATATTTGTGTCAATGATTCTTTAATTATTTAATATTATTGGATAAAATTTCCCTATGATGCTGAATGAGAAGTAGGTAACAAAACAGTCAAGTACCTTGGTAATGTGTCTTCTATTTTACTTAATGCAGGTCAAGTGCTATATGCTACAGTTACTTTCAGGTCTGCAGCATTGCCATGCGAGGGGAATTTTACATAGGGACATCAAAGGATCCAATCTGTTGATAGACAAAAATGGGATGCTAAAAATAGCAGATTTTGGGCTGGCAAATTATTTCCAACCTAGACAAAAACGTCCTCTTACAAGCCGAGTCGTGACACTCTGGTATAGAGCTCCAGAACTACTTTTAGGTTCAACAGATTATGGAGTTGGGATTGATCTCTGGAGTGCAGGATGCCTATTGGCAGAGATGTTTGTTGGAAAGCCAATTATGCCTGGTCGAACAGAGGTACGGCTTTTCTTAACACCAATTAAATACCCCTTGAAATAGAAACCATTTCGATTCATTTTTCGCAAGATTTTAAATGAGTAATTTCCTCATGGAGTCTGAGTTGAATTAATTTTTTCTAATCATTTACAAAATGGCATTTAGGAGTTCTAAGAAATAAAGTAGTTTCTTCTTGATTGCTTTTAAATTATCATTTTTTGCAACAGCTTGATTTTGGTTACGACATACAAAAAAAGAAAGAAAATTATATGGTCTTAAATGTAAGTGCATGTATCCCGCGGGACGAAAATATTTACCATTTTGTTTTTAGCAGTTTCAGTTCGAATAATTTTTCCTAAACTTCAGTGATTATATGCCTGCAATAATCTATTGTTGAAAGCCAACCAAGTTTATTAAGCTTTTTGCATATTCAGGTCGAGCAACTTCACAGAATTTTCAAACTTTGTGGTTCTCCTTCTGAGGATTATTGGAAAAGAATGAAGCCACAAGCAACCTTTCGACCACCACAACAATATAAACCCAGTTTTCAAGAGGCCTTTACAAACTTACCTTCGTCTTCTTTTAGTCTCTTGACCTCACTGCTAGATCTGGAACCAGCATACCGAGGCACTGCTGCTTCCGCTCTTCAAAATGAAGTGAGTTTAAATGGAATCTACATTCATGCTTATCATTTAGTGTTTGATTTTTCATATGCTGTGCAAATTATATATAAAGACAGGGACGTCTTGCATTGCATAGCTGCCTGTGAATTTTCGACAAATGTGGAACCAACATAAAAGGATATGTTCATCTCGTGTTTATCTTTTTTGTAATTTTTTCTCGTACACTTATCAGGTATGTCAATGGAATGAAATGTTATACTTCCATATTGTCTCTTTCTAGGTGGAAATCGTTGGAAGTTTATAACTAGAAATAGCTTGCTTATTGGCTGTATTATATCCAAGGGACTAAAAGCTTTCACATGAGGTTAGGTTGATCTAGAAGTTGAATCTCTTAAGTCTAAACACTTGTATGAAATTCTGCAGTGCTAAAAAAGTTCTCTCTCTCTTTCATTCTTGTTCTTGTTTATGCTCAGTCCTCTGACTCTGTGAGTTACATGTCTACAAAATGTTGTATTTTGTATTCTAAGTAGTTTTTCCTGTTTACAGTTCTTTAGTTCAAGTCCATTGGCATGCAACCTTTCTGGTCTACCCTCAATGAATAAAGAGGAGGATGAGCCGATTGTGACCAATGATCAGAAGAAGTATGTTATCTCTTTAATGCATGAAGTTTTCATTTTTTCCCCATTTTTTGCATATAATATGATGATCAGGAGGATTATCTACTTAGTTGCATAGTGACTGAAAAAGATTTGTTTAGATTTTGTTTAATATGCATGGATTTCTACTTGGAATATAAATCTAGAAGAGAACAAAATGGAGTCTTTCATTCTGTTCAACACAAATATCAATCTAATGAAATTGTAGTGATTATTAATTTTCCTTTTTTCTGTGTTCCTTCCTGGTAATAAAAAATGGCTCTTCGCAGGATTAGCGATTGCAAAGTGTAAGATCACTGCTAAAGCTTCTACTACTATGCAAGTTATTTGTTTGGACTTCTTAAATCGTGACAAGAAGAAATGCACTCATATGAACAGAAATAATTCTGTAATATGCTCAATAGCATAGACACGACACGACAATTTTCCAAAAACACAGGACATGATACAATTGGGGCACGTTAAAAAAATTATATTTTTAAGAAGTTATATGTTAAATATATGAATAGTTTATTCAAAGATAATGAGAAAAAAGAAAAAGGAAAAGGAAAATGAAAAAACGCAGCACTAATTAAAATTAAAATGCCATATATTCCCTAACTTAGATATGATTCATATTACAATTGCATTGTAAAGAAAGCAAAACAATTGTAGACATTAACATACGCATGGTGTATTCATCTTACAAATGTTTCAAAACATAATTAGAGTACATAAGTTGCATTTTGAAGAATGCAAAACATTGTTACTATGAAGAAATTCATTATATAGGTCATGAACGAAGGGTTCAAGTAGTGTCACCGAACTGTTAGTGAAGTGTCGGTAAAGTAGCCGATAGAATGAATTTAAAATTTTAATTAAAACACATTGAAGAAGTGCCAGACATATTTTTATTAGTTTTTTTTATAGAAGATCCGACAATGCAATATGCCGTCTCCATATAATTGTCCGTGCTTCTTAGGTAATATAATTCTCTATGTTGGGTATTTGTGTCCAACATCCAATTGTTTAGCATGTGTCTTTGGATGTTCCACTAAAATCGGTCCACTGTTATGTCTATGGCATTTGAATTTAAATTCAAATGTATTTGAATGGAACCATTAGAACAGAGTTGTCAGCACAAGTGATAGTAAATGATTGGAAGAAAGAAATTCCATTGAATACCAAAATGTAAATATCCAAAATTGTGTACAGAAAACAGATTATAAATGGCAATGCAGATACGAAGAACTAATTTCTGTGATCTGCATAACACAATGGACAATGATGAATTATTAATCGTGTTTTTCCTGTCTTATAGGAAGAAGGCTTCTAAAGCAAAGCAACGGCCTCTCAAGAACAATGGAGGCCATGGAAGAAAGGACTCAATAACAGAACAAAGCAGAGAATATTCAGGATCTTTTAAAGAGGTAAATTGCTCCTTCCATATAGTGATTACTATAAAGGAACACGTCAATTTTATGAAATGTTTTGTTTTTAGTTAGCTATTATTGTATTTAGAATGTGTTAGAAGCATCTTTGAAGAAAGATGAGTTTTGAATTGCTTAAACGAGGAAGGCTCATTTCTAGGTTAATATCAAAATATGTCATTAATCAAACATATGTTCGAGTTCCTAGATGATGTTCCATTTTATAATTTCAATCAGTTTTGTGTTGTTTTAATTCCTCAAAATTGTGAAATCCATTTCGAGTTAATATCAAAATATGTAATTCATCAAAAATTGGTTCGAGTTCCTGGATGATGGTTCATTTTATAAGTAATTCCTCAAAATTGTGAAACTCATTTCAAGTTAATTTGAAAGTATGTCATTAATCAAACATTTCTTCAAGTTCCAAGATGATGGTCCATTTTATAATTTCAGTCAATTTTGTGTTCAAGTAATCCCTCAAATTGAGGATGTGAGAGGGTTTGAAATTGAAATTTCGAACATATTTTTTGAACCTGTGATTCAGTTACGATCACTTTTGTATCAAAAATTTACCAATCACTTATCAATAATGCACTAGTCAAGTGTTACAAATTTAGTACTTCATGTATGCATTATGTATTAGTTGAGTCTCCAAACTGTAAAACTATGTTACCTGGAACGTGGATCGTTCCAGTATGGGAAACAAGAATGGGAACAAGATACGCCACATGCTCTAAAATATGGTACGATAAGGGTAGATTTGTATATATTATACTTACAAATTTGAGGTACTTATAGAGTAATTTTCTTTTAACTAGTAAGCATCTAATAAAATTTAGTTTTTCTTCTTCATATAGCAAAACATTTCTACGAGTATTATGACTCATGTTTTATGTTTTGTCTTGTCAAAACTTAACTTACCTTAGATTTTAATTTATTATATTTGATTTTTTTCCTCCTAAGGAAACCTTTAAGGAAATTTATTGAAAAAAACTTTTGTGATTGTTTTAGATCGCTACCGTTTTGGAATAAAAGTGTAACCATATTTTGGAACGTGTGTACCAATACATAATTCGCTAAGGTATTAACGTTTTCTGGTAACATAGCTGTAAAGATACTGAAATGTGATATATTTTGTATAAACTAGCATGCCCACTAAGTGAATGGTTCATTTTGTATAAGCTTCATATTTTTTGTCTTCAATGTTCTTTTACATGACCATTAATTCTTCTCTGAAGCTACTTTGGGACACACCCTTTACCAAAATCCTTATTACTGGCAAGTTGGCAACTCTAGTTTAAGAGAATATTGATATATTCTTGTGCTATGCTGAATCCATTTACCCAAATCCTTATTTTGTTTTTTTTGGGTCCTTTAATTTTTGCAGGAGAGAAATGGAGAGTCAAGCTTCCAAAGCCAGGAGATGGGTTACAGTGTAAGCAGCAGTGCTTCTAGTACAAAACCAAGCGGGAGTACTGGACAGGCGATTCCACCTCCGTCTCCGACTCCAGCTTTTCATTCTAACCGAAAGCAATCTGCAAGAACAGAGGCACATCCTAATGCCACGAAGAACATCAAGAACTTTCCACTCTTACTTGCCTCCCTAGCCGATACCGGCAACCACATCACAATCGAAGACAACAGGCCAACTCTCAACAGGAGGTCCATCTCTACCGTCGATTTTCGAACAATTGATCTCGAAAGGATATCAAAGCTCTTTGGGTCGAAAGAAAATTAGGTCATGAAGAAGAGAAAGGTTATTCCATTTGGTTCTTGAGACCTGCATTTCCTGTTTTACAAGTACCCATTTCTAGCCATTTACTTAGCTGAGTATTGAATAAACAAACCAGTTTTCAGTTTCATGATAATTTTGTGTATGGCTTGATCTCAATCTTGCTGGTTTGCTCATGACAAGTTATCTATGAAAATTTAATCATATTATTATGTAGTTGGTAGTTGGTAGTTGGTTTGGTATTAGCTAATAGTACTGGACCCTTCAGTTCAGGCTGTCATGGTCTGTTGATCGGCAACATGACTGACTACATTAGGCCTTTGTCGCAAGTGTCTGAATGGTATGTATTTATTCGTGTGCAAATTAATATTAGTATATGCCTTCAAACGAAGGGAGTTTAATAAATATCATGTCCTACTTGATGGGTTTGACAGCATATTTGCTTTCTTAATTTATGTAAGCATCCTTTATATGCTACAGTCAGATTGAAACAAATGATAAAAAGGAACTTCCTTTGGGATCAACCATAAATTTAAATGTCCTCTGTTTGACCTTTTTTTTTTTCCTTCTTTAATTGTTGTTTTGATCTTAATAAATATACATGACTTATTTTATAATAGTGAGTTCAACACGACATTGAAAGGTTGTCATAGCCCTAAAAAGAAAAAGAAAAAGAAAAAAACAAAATTGCATTATTTGTTGATTCATTGTTATGGGGTAGGGTGGGATGGAGGCTTGGATTTAGTTCATGACCAATTAACTATCTTGACATACAGTTGAAACAACCCCCCCCCCCCCCCCCCCCCCCCCGCACACGCACACGCACACGCACATCATTCATATTCATAAATTATATCTATATGAATACACATATATACATGTGTATGCATGAATATGAATGACACATAGCATAATTCAATTCAGTAAGACTATACAAAATTTTACATTCAGCAACATAAGAACACTTGACATGCTCTGACCATTATTATGCAACAGTAATCCACACACACACACACAAAAAAAAAAAAAAAAAAAAAAAAAAAAAAGACATACTCAGTGCACGAATCTTCCGCTTAAGTGGAGTCTGGGGGACGGTTGATGTGTGTATATATATAAATAGATCATGAATCGTAAAAGTTATCGGTGAACTTCCTCTTGATCCACTTGAAACTGTTCCTGAAGGATGATTTGAGCTTACCTTCCATAGTGTACAAGTTGTAGGAAGCCACCCTCTTCCTCCTCTTCACCTCTGGGTTATCATTCGGACCATTGAAGTTAAATGACTTGCTTCTTTCCTCCAATGACCCCAACCCCAACCGAACATCCGTGTAGGAACATGGGTAGTCTGGGAATGATCTGCTCTTCTCCATAACCCCCAACAACCTCAACCTCAACCTCAACCTCAACCTCAAGGAGATATATACATTTACTACTTACTTCTCACCCACCCCCATTATATTTATATATACTACTACTATTGCTACTAATTGCATTGCATTGCATTGCATGGACCCCATGCAAAAACATTGTGTACATTAGTGCGGTCTTCATAGGCCTTGGAAGAGACTTTGATTTGATGACAAAAGATTCGAATATATAGATATTGAATATAGTGGGGATGATGTATATATATATATATTGATAAGAGGGAGATGAGGCTATAATCACCACAATTACCTAGCTTCCATTATTGCAGGGACCAGGCGCATTAGAGAGAAAGAGACAGAGTGATGTATGAGTAATCTTGCATTCACTTCAAAATGGGAATTTGGAGAAGTTATTGGGTGGTACAACGGTACGACTGATATCGGTACATATTTTAATAGCATACTGATTGGTGGATGTTTTTTACGAGCTTCAAGCTCGAGCTCAAATATTAGACTCGATTAGTAAACGAGCCTTGAGCTCAAGCTCAAGCTCAAATAAATTTGGCTTGTCAAGTTTGACTCGTTTATCTTTATTTAAATTATATAATAAATATATTATTTATATATTAAATAATATTAAAAAAATCTTATCGAGCCGAGCCGAGTTCAAGCCCAATTACTTATCGAGTCAAGCTCGAGTTCAATAAATGAGCTCGATAAGCAAACAAGCTGAGTTCAAACTCAGCAAAACTCAGCTCGTTTATAACCTTAATCACTAATATATTGATTCAGTGAATCCTACCTTTTAGGTTCCTCCCTCTCACATTTTAATATTGATACAAAGTGAATTTATTTAACCAAAAATCATTGAAGCTTACTTGGGGGATTGTATTTAATTAGTGATAAAGATAAGAGGAAGGGGGTTGGATAGACATATTGCAAGGTGGTCGAAGCAGTTTGAGGTGATGGGGATACCGGCAAATGACTCTAAATGCTTTTGAGATGGATGGGTTTCATTTCAATTGTCCTATAGTGGGAGGGAGAGCCCACCAAAGTAAGGCCAGTGGGGTACTAGCAGGGCCCCACTACATTTATGTTAGGGTGGTGTTGTAGGTGGAGGGTAGGATCCACAAGGTCCAATGAGCTTTAGAATAGACAACATTAGAAAAGGGGGGGGGGGCTGAGTGCTGCCTCCACTTTCTGCAATAGGCAATTTGCTTTAATGTGTATATTTTGTGGGCCTTCTGTGTCTCGTTGTTACTATTGTGAAAACAATACTAGGTCTTCATTCTCTCTTCATTATATATAGTAGTGTTTGTTTTAATTGAAACAAAATGTAATGAAATGATTATTTGGGAGGTTAAAGAAGAATAATTTCAGTTCAATTCAATAGGCTTAGTTTCATTTCAATTCATTAAATATTATTTGAAATTATTATTATAAAAAAGATTTTGCTTTCTAGAAGTGAATGGAGTAAAAAATTAAACAAATTGAATCGTTTATATTATAGAATTTATTAAATATATAATTCATTAAAAAAAATTAATGGAATATGTGTAGCACCATAATTAAGTTCTAATATTTAAAAAAAAAAATTATCAAAATTATGTTAATCATATTTAAAATTTAAAAAAGAAAAGAAAAGAAAAAATATGCTCTTATTATGGAGTTTCATATATTCAAATAATCTGGTTTAATATTGAAATGGAAAAATCGGATGGAAATATATAAGTTGATTGAGTTAATTCTTGTCCAGTGCTAATTTATTTATGATGATTTACACTTTTATAAATATCTTTCAATTAATAATTTTAATATTATATAAGAGAGTAATTAGAGATTTCATTTTTTCTAATTATTTTTTTAACTTAAAATTCTAACGAGATATTCACTCAAAAAATAAAATTCTAACACGAGGTAGTTGTAGTTTCTAGAACTATAAGGGTCAACTCATATTTTGAACAAATTATAGAAGTGTATTTATAATTTATCTACAAATAATATATTCATATTTAATAACTAAAAATCTAAGCACTGAAAATCGGAATTAACTGATGAGGAAATTTAAGCAAAATTTCCGACCATGGAGTGAGCTAAACGGGAACGAGTCGGACCGATTTTCAACGGTTGAGATTCGGACGGAGTCAGAATTTCTAATCTCAAAATGCTGAGCTGGATGGTGAAGAAGACAAAATAGGATTAGATCAGGGCAGTGCACTACTTGAGATTTTTCCTTTTTTTTTTTTTCTTTCGGTGAAAAGATGAGTTGAGCTTGAAATATTTTTATTTTTATTTTTAAATCAAAAGAGATATACTTGAGCTTTGATAAGACCAAAAATTGAAAAGAAAACTAAAGATAAATTCAATCTAAAAAGAGTATAATGTATTAGATTCGGTAGATATTTTTTTTTGGAAGAACTTACTAGTAAGTTTCATACACAAGATTCAAAATTTATCTAATTTCAAAACGAAACATTTATACTAGTTAGTCTTATACATTTTTAATTATTACCAAAAAATCTTATCTTAAAAAAAAAAAAATCTAAAGATGTTGCTATATCCCACCACCACCGGACTTCCGTTAGACGGTCATCGGAGATTCGCCGGAATATTCAATATTACTAGAAAGTCGTCGGAATATCACCAGAAATTTGTCGAAATATTATCGGAATATTCTGAACATCACCAGAAGTAGTCGGAATGTCTAGAATGTTCACTGGACGTTAAGAATATCGTAAAAGACTCACTAGAATATCAAGAATATTGCCGAAAAAAAGAGGAAGAATAAACTAAGAAATTAAAGTGAAAACATATAGCAAAATGTGCTAAATATTGATAAATTGAAAGAAGAAAAAAAAAACCTAAGAACGACAAACAACAACAATGGGAAAAAAACATATGTTATTTTCAATTTTTGTAGGGTTTAAGTAAATAATTTTTAGATTAATGATTGAGGCCTCAAATTTTTTGGCTCAAATTTGGCTCGAATTTTTTTTTTTTTTTGTGCTGGGTTGATGCTTTGCTTGTTATTATTATTATTATTTTTATTTATTTTTTTCTGCAGTGTATTAGCCCAGAAAAAAAAAAATGCATTCGAGGCAATTTCGAGCCTCATTTTCAAGGCCTCAATCACAGCCGTAATTTTTAACATTGATCAAATTGAAAAACAAGTTTTGAAATCGTAAAATGTTATAGTTTCAAAGTATGATTCTATTAATAATTTATCCTTATTAATCAAACTGAAAAACATGTTATAAACCTGCAAAATTTTACAGTTCTAAAGAAAGTTATGAAATTGTAAAATTTTACAATTCTAAAGAATGAATCATTTCAGTACCAAAAAAACAGAAATTGTAAAATTTTACAGTTTTCACCACCTATAATTAAAACTCAAAAACAATTTGTTTAGAACTTGAAAATTTTCTCTATTATAACAAGAAAATAAAAGTGTGTAGTATAGAAAAAATATTAAAACTAAGAGATCGAAAGAAATAGACAGATATAGAGAGATGTTTATACTCCGGCAACTATTTTTTTGTTTAGATCTAACCGGATCTAACGTAGATGTACTTAGATCTGAGTAGATCTACTCATCTTCTTCGTTAAAAACTCATCTCTTTTGTCATCGGTGAGCACAAAGTAAGAAGTTGGTGCTTAGTGGTTGCCCATAAATCCCAATCAATAGTAGTCGCTGGCCGCCGGTGACTATAAATTAGAAAGAGAAAGAAAAGAAGGAATGTGTGATCATGGTTGTGGTTGCCGTCATCGCCGATATCAGATAAAGAGAAGAAACAAGGTGAAGGAAGATAAATAAGCATATGACTTTTAGGTCTATCAAAAAGGTTTTGAGATTAAATAGAATATATAATTTTCAAAAAAGACTTGTGAGTAATTTGACTTTTTGTATCTATATGACTTTTTATTGACTATCTGTTCAAATTTGTATCTATTTGTTCAATTTTTTTCTATGTGTTCAATTTTTTTCCATTTGTTCAAATTTTTTGTCTATCTGTTGAAATTCTTGTCCTAAATTTTCCTATTTGTTAAATTTTTTGTTCTAAATTTTTTTATCTGTTGAAATTCAAACTTATTTTCCTTTTTTTGTTGAATTGTCAAACCATGCCTTCAATTCAACCTAAGTTTTCTAGTCTTTACACCTTACTAGCCACTTAACACACAAAAAATCACATAAAACCCAACAAGAGACTTTCATTCACAGCATTCAATCTACAATATTGGCATTACTTACCAAATTCAAATTTTTTAAATTTTGTCAAATTTAAGCATTTTTAAAAATTATTTCCATAGCTCACATTATTACTTGAAGTTGTGTTTTCAAAACATAACATCACCTCGAAAGTCATGTTTTCAAAACAAAATTTCATAAAATTTTACAATAAACTAATTGCAATTGTGTTTTCATATTTTCATAACACCATAACTTTACAAAACATGGATTTGAGTTTGGGAGATAAATTCAAAAAATGCTTGAATTTGGGAAATAAGTTCTAGAATATATGAGATTGATAATAAATAAATAAATAAAATCTAACATGACATACAGAAAATCAAAACCAAAATCATAGTATTAGAGACACACAACAACAAACATAGAGAGAAATATTGTATCAAAACCAGAAATCATAGTTTACAGTTCACAACGTCATCTGGTTCCTCATCACCACTGTGGAGTCGGTGGCTCTGGTCTCCATGTTCTGTTTCTTTTTCATTTTCTGTGGTTGTACTGGCTGATCTCTTCATTTCTTCTAGAACATTCTAGAATTTGATGATTCCGACTGCCAATGAGCCCTAATTTGATAGAGGATTCTGGGGGATCTATTGTCACGACCCTAATCCGCCCCTATAGGTTTAGGACCGTAATCGGCCAGTAATCCCAAATTACCCAGCCTCAAAGACAGAATTAACAGAATTTATAATATAATGTACGGGGCCACAAGCAAAAGCAGAATTTAAAAACTTGTCCATTAAGTTGTGCATACATGACATATCTAGACATCACATTTAGTTAATAACGTACATCCAATCATATACAGAAAATAGTACTCAGCCAAGACCATTCACAAA